TCAATTGCTTATGAACTAAAAACAGTGCTTCACCATAAAATATGACCTACCAAATACTAATAAGAGTTTATCAATAATACACGAATACTTTTGTCCAAATGAATTATAATATTATCATAAATTTCTGTTCAAATTAAATAGTAAATTGTTAGATTAGAAACAATCGTGTAATACATATTCATTTGCTTTTATAATAATTTGGTGTACTATCGTATAATCTAAAAGAATGAAAGTCTATTTGATTATAAAGAGCCATGTCTATTACAAGTAGAAATAGTAAATAGTGGGCAGACACATTAGTCAGAAACTTAGGTCATGTTGAAGTTTTTGAAAACAAAGTTCAGTATTATATTTTTAACCATATCACTTAAAAACATCTCCTTTCCAATGGCACTATAAATTACAGTTTGCTTTGTATATTATCTAAAGCGAAACCTCTTCTGCAAATCGATATACGTAGAAGTTATAAGAAACTTCAAGCAAGTGTTACTTCTTCTTACTTAAATGTCGCACACCATGTTTCTGATGGATTTTAAAATTGCTGCTGGGAATATGAAGTTTTGAGTAGTACCGAACACGCTATAGTTACATTTTACATTACCTTCATCTTAAATAAAGTTGTATAATGGAAATGAATTGCAATACATACTGAATCTTTCACAACCCAGAAAGAACAAAATCGTTTCATTATTTTGTAATTTTCACATTTGAAATTAATTTTAAGATTTACATCTTTAAAAATACAAGTACGCATTTAAGAATTACTTTTTGCTTTCTTTTGTATGCTACATATTAATTATGTATTAATATACTTTAAAAAACTGTAAAATGAGATTTTAACATAGTTTAAATATGTAATTCCATTAAAAATTTTCGACGTTAACTACGTGTAAGAAAGTTAACTTTTAAATCTATCCAAATGACTTTTTAAGTGAGACTTCTTTAAAAAAAGGTAATTTTTTATGTTGTATTACAAAATATCATATTTCACTGGATTTCTTCAGTATTATCTTCGAATAAATATTTAAATGACATAAATAATAGATTCTAGCTTTTTTTCTTGTCTTCCATGAAACGAAAAAGTATGGTACGTCAGAAATAATGGTCCACATTAGCACTTAAATAATTTAAAACTTCGTACTCCGATTTTTTCTGGTATCACAACAAACAATATCCAATACGAAAAAAGAGTTTTAAAATGATACCAAATACATTCCTGTAACAAGTTCTTTAACCGATAAATATATCACGAGATATAAATAATTTAAGAAAATTTGAAAATTGTTATAATACGCTATAGATTATAATACTTAACAATACATTATTACAAATTTGCACACATTAACGTAATATTATTTACACATCATCACAATATGAGAAAATCTGCAAGCACAGTGCGAAACATAAATTTTCTCGATAACAACAGATATATCTAAAATGGGCTATTATTATAGATTTTCTACGTAGAATTCTTGAACTTTTTCCAACTGCAAAATGTTCCGCTGAAAGCAGAATTTTACCGATATCGCAATCATTCGTCGGAAAATCCCGGTTCATGTCCTTCAGACAATAACTGGAATTTCGACATTCAAAGAAAATATGAAACTGAGAATGCTTTAACGTCAATACTTCAGTCGAACAATACTGTTCCTAAACTTCAATTGATACGATCGACAATTCAATTGAGTTCATTTTTTAATGGAATAAATTTAGGTAAAGATGCATTATTGCGTAAATTATTTGCATCTAAATGTCATGTAAAAGAAAATTTGTCAACAGAAATCAGTAGTTAATGACATATATGAGCATTTCATTTCCTGTAATGTAAAACAATTAACTCTGAATCTAAAATATACTTTCGATTCTTATGTCTAGAGTATTGATTATCCGGCATAACTTGCTTTATCTTTTCGTCCTCGAAATGAACCGATTGATCAAGGACCTATTCCACTTTCAATTAATTTCTCTTCGCAGACCTACATCGAGACACAAACGATATTTAATTTTATTACAATAATTACGTACTTTACCAATTTTTACTATACTTAGTCGCTATAATATGTTTTGCTATAATGTATTAGTATAATTTTTATTTTATAATCATATCATATACAACAGTATTATAACAGTATAAAACGTTATAAGTAAATATAATTTTGGTACTTCTGAAATATTCTGAAATAAATTACGTAGTAGTATCATGTCTGACCCCTTGACCTACACTATCGTGTCAGACTAGTGACGAAAATTTTAAGTTGAATTTGACAAATCTAAGCATATACTATTTATAAGTATAAATTAAATATTGCTTCTTTATTATTAATCGTTAACCTTTGTAGTAAACGTAAACACAGAATAAGCATCAAAATTGTCGCTTTTCCTAATAAATTATTAAGGATAAAGTAGGTATATCGAACATAATTAAGAAATAACTCATAGGGCAACGGGTTAAATTAAGCAAAGTTTATGGAAGTTGTAAAACAAAGAATTAAGAACACTTCGAACTATAAAAAGTTAAAGAACTAATAGTCTAATTAAAAACGGATAGTACATTTAACTCTTATTGGTACTAATATAATATAATGATGTAATTCTATTATTTGTTCCAAATTCAAAAATTCAAAAATATGTTAACATAATAAATAAACAGTAAATGAAGAAGAAAATGCACATTTTTATAATTAAGTAAACAAAAGGTCGCCTAAATTATTACTCATTTGTCAATTTTATGCATTTAGTTAATCATTTCTCTATATTTAAGCTGATATTCCTTCAACGAAACTTCAATTAGGAAAATGTTCTATTTTCCTTGCAAGGAATTCCTTAATTACAGTCGCGTAATGAGAATGAAAATTGCTATGCAACAAGTAGCAATTACCGGATTTCACAATCTCGGGCTGAATAAGGGTAATTCTTTTAAGAAGTTGTTCCGCAACTCCTTGGTAACGGGAAAGTAACTTGTAACAAAAAGTACTCTCTTCAATGTTGTCTTCATTTCAAGATATCAAAATTCACACCCTTTGTTGTCGTCAATCATAGAAGTGAAAACAGTTGTACCGCTCTTATTCCGTGTGTTGAAAGCAACATTTCAACACTTCCTGTAGTAGCTTTACCCACTTTAAAACAAAACTTGTTTCCCCTTTGTTACCTGATGCTTGAATTTATTATGACGCAGTGCTATAATATTGCGCACAACAAAGAGCTATTTCCAAACGAACGTGATTACGCATATGAAACTTTCTACAAAACAAGTTTAAATATATTACTAATTATTTGTAGCAACAGGGTTGTTTGTTAAATGACTGAATCAATGTTTTCTAAATCAGCTTTAAAGTTTTGTAAACCTATACGTATCTAAGTATGTATACAACCATAAGGAAGTGAATAAATGAAATGTCAAAGAAATGTAACCTCCGTTTCTCTTGTAACCAAGTATTTACTTGGGAAAGGTGAAATAAAAACCTGTTAAATCGTTTGAATATTTTAAAAGAACAAATACACGTTTCATCGTACTTCGAAATTATCGAATGTATCATATTTTAAAGTATTCCAAATATTTGAAAAGGGGAATGTTTAATATTAAAATGTAACATCGGCATGCCAATCAGAAACAAAATTTTACCGATATATACGAATTCTTCCTCGGTCTCATTAGCGGAAACATTAGCTGTTCCCGAATCGCGTCCGCAGTTACAGGAACCCCCGAAATCTCATCGGAATAGGGACTAGAGGGGATTAACGAGTAAACGACTTTCACGCACGTTCGTTGGCTCTCGAAAGCTCGCATGTGCGAGCTGCCGCTTCGGGGAAGCCGTACGACGTCACAACTATAGATACTCTATTTTCGCTTATCTCACCTCTACTGGCTCCTCTCTAAACTCCCTTTCCCTCTCTCTGTTTCTTTCTTTCTCTCTCTCTTGCCCCCTCGCCGTGTTCGTTCTTCCCTCTGTCCCTCGCCCAATCTGACGCGGGAAATGTGTATTTCTGGCTCGGCCTCTCGACGGGCGCAGGGCAGAGCTCCGAAGACGAATTCGTACCAGAATCCGGTTCGACCACGAATCCCGATAAAGCTGATAGAAATCGCTTGTCGATGATCTCCAGAAGCTGTCGAGGGGAAACGATCCCTCGGATACGAGAAACAATAGCCAACCACGCGGGAAATTGTACACGGAACGGCCCGGATATGAGCAATCCCGTGCGTTCGAGAACGTTTTGCGGCCGATACGATGGGATTCTTCGATCTTAAGCACCGCGTGCGTACTTAGTTTGCTATTCATTCCGGCGGAGAAACGTGTCTCTTGCTCGTAATTGAAATAAATGTCTTGTTATCTGTAGAACGTTAAGAGGGAGGCGATCGAACACGTAAAATTGAAGGGAAAGCATTCTATCGATGAATGATATGCAAAAGGAGCTAACTTTGAAACCATTATGCATTTATTAGAAGTTTAGTAAGCTAAGAAAATTGAAGAAAACGGGACAATCTACAAGGTGAAATAATGTTTCTATTTTATTAACACTCTGAGTAGGAAGACGATTTAATTGTAATATTCAAAAGAAAAGAATTTAGATGTAATATTTATATCTATTGCAACAGAAGAATGTAAATAATATTTTTCGTGGTTTGTAATTACGATTTCATAGAAAACTTAACTGCGAATTTAATAAATTTAATCAATTTTCACGAATTAAAAGATAATTGAAAATCTAATGAAGAATATGACACTGTACTAGTGAATTATCCTATAAATAACGTTGTTTGTATATGCTTCTTCTATTTTTAAAAATTAAAATAAACAAAAGCTTTTTTAATATATATATATAGATAGATCGTTAGATAAATAATGAAGGAGAATATGTTTAACATGTTTAAAAAGTTATATTTATCTTACTTTTCATGGATGAACGAAATGTACAAAAATAGCATTATCTATGGAATGACATAATATTTTTGATAAAAACTGGTTCATTTCAACGAACAACAACCCATTACAATGTCCTACCTTTACTGGTGAAACTGAAACTTCTAAGCCTGTAACTGTCTTCATCCTCGCCGTCTTCCCTCGACGGCACCTGCGACGACGTGTCAGGCACGTCTAAAAATGCATTGCTCTTCCTGTGATGAGTGTGGTGCATGCTTTGCCCTCTTCGGCTTCCTCTTCTTCTGAGACCAGGACTGATGTCATTGTCAGTCAACCTGGGCTCGCTGCTGCAGTGTGCAGACTTAACTGTACCTTGGTGGTGCTGCGCGGCTGAAATGAAAAATTAAAACGTGTGGTTGATACAGACATCAATTTCAAGGGTAAACATATGTAATATGTTAACATAAATAAGTCCAGGTGCAAATACGAACGTGTTCGTATTCTAAAAGTTTAATAATAACTTATTACAAATGCGTATGATGCTAATGAATAAGAGATTAATTTAAAGCAGTGAAATGGAATTTATATAATTAGTTAATTATCCAGTACTAATTTTACTGCTTCGTTAAACTAATAATACCAAAAAGAATGTTAAATATTATTGGAAATGGGTGATTAAATGATGAAACAGTATACATATTACAGTGTGACTTTATTGTAACGGCTTTGAAAAGCACGTCTGGCTCTTTCAAGTTTTCGAATGCAAATAATACGGAACACCCAAAACTAAGTTGAGGTCCGCTTTTCTTTACAAGACTGTGGCATTGCCTGGAGGAAAGTCTCTTGACTTCGCGTGACAAAATCTAGACACATCTGGTTGCCTTTCTGTCACCTTTGTTTAGACTAAAGATATATAAACGTTAGGCATTTTTGCTTTTGTTAGCTTAGCATTAGTAATAATTCAACAAATATATTCAAACATATTTATGTTACTACTCAATAATTAGTAACTATCAAAGACTAGGCGTGTGCGGGCCACCTAATGTGCCGGGTATACATCCGATTTCTCGGGTCGGGCTGGAAAAATTCGAACGGACACGTGCAGACGCCCGCGACGCTCCAGCACTCGGGCATTCCGACCCACCCGATCCGTTTCGATTCTTAATCCGTTGTCCTATAATATGGTGTTGGACGAGAATTTTAAACTGAATTCGACGAATTAACTCTTTCGCTACGATGAGTGACTATAGTCATCTGTCACGAGCGCCACCTACACACGACGGGTGAAAATAGTCATCGACCACAAAAATTGAGCTGCAGTTTAACCCTTTCGTTACTATGTGCGACTATGGTCACCCTACATGAAACGTTACGTACATACGACGGGCGACTATGGTCTCGCCCTCTTTTGCACACTCCGCATCTGTTTTTGTACATGCGGTTTTAGTGTTTTAATTATTAAAAGTTATTATTATTGAAGACAGAATTACTTAAAAGTTACTGGTATTATTTGAGGAAATTCCTTTTCCAAGTAATATCATTATAGCAATTTGTGGCGCAGTAAGGCATAAATAAGGCCGCTGGCGTTTGTCCTCACACAATGTGTGCATTTTCGTTACGGCACGCCGTTAAACGGGAGTGTCAAGAAGAACAGGACGCCCGTAGCGAAAGGGTTGAACGGTATTTGCGGCTTTCGATTATAAATTAAATATTATAATTACATGGTAGTTGTTTAGTTTGGATATTTGTTGTCGGGAGCGTAATTCTATGCAACTTTTTCCCGTGGAAAAGGTGTTGCTGTTTCTTAGTTTCTGACATAATCGCAAGAAACGTTTGCCTATGCATACGAAATAGGGTGAACCTTAGCTATACTTGGCAAAAATTAAATTTCAACTTCCTTTTCGGGACGCCTCCTAGGGTTGTGATAACCCTAACCCAACTGGATAAAAAGATACTCTGTGCAAAATGTAAAATCGATTGGATAACGTGAAATTGTGACGCATCACGCTTGAAAATTAGTTATTTTTGTATTTCGTTTTTCTCCGTTACAGTATATCGTTAAAATACAAAATTATATATCGTTGAATTTGTCTTCTTATACTCTACAATACTGTAGAAACAAAATATAAAGACGTCTAAAAAAAATATCGTGACCTTGAAATCTGAAATACTGTATTGAAAAAAATGTTTTTTCTTTGGAATTATATTTC